CCCCCCCCCCCCCCCCTTTGGGACCCTTCCCCTTTTTTCGGATCCGTTCCCCTTTTTACAGACCCCTTTCCTCCCCTAAGTTAACAGACCGACGGTGACTGTAGATTTAAACGTTTGAAATCCTCGAGTAATGATGGCCTGGCCAGCCTCCACCAACCGAAAATGCGAGAAAGTAACGTCCGTGTTTGATTGGCGCACGAGGAGCAGTCTCCCGCTCCCTCGCTCACTGTAGGCCTACGAGTCCCAAGTTTGGATTTGGAGGCCGCAAATGATATGTTGTTCTCCGATGTCCCAGAGACACGCACTCAACTACAATTCTTAAACTTTTGTTCCAACTGTGAATTCACTTTTCGACTTACGTGTTAACCCGTTTTACGGGATTGGATTTCTCAAGAAGCGATGGGATAAGTTAATGGCTTCGGTTCTTTCCTCATCTGGTAAGTTGTTTGAAGGTGGGGAAAGAAAAACAACTGCGTCTTTCAGATTACGAATTCTTTTTGCTGTTATTATGTTGCAACGTCGGTTGCAATTGTTTTGAACTTTATGCTTTCTAACGTTTCAGAGATTTAATACAATACCATCTGCGTTGTCTGATTTAAATGTAAACCCTGCCTTGTTCTCATGGAGCAACTACAACCAGCGATGGATGTCACCATTCTGCGGAAAAATAAACTCTTTGTAGGTGTAAATCAATGTTCAGAAAGGCAGTAAAAAAATTGTATCGCGTTTGCATTATGATTGCTTTTTTGTTAGGGTACATTCTTTGTTGGTTTGTCGGGAACTGGGTTTCTCTTAGATCGGTTAGTCGGTCACAAGCATCGGAGCGGAACATGTGTGTATGGTTTGACTGGAGATTGTCATCGTGTACTGGATACCATAACAAACTGTACTGCCCTCGTTCCACACTTTTAAGCTTAGTTGGTGGTCTGTTCTGAACTTCCTTCTCGGATCATCTCTCACTGCATATGACGATCTTATCGCTCTTATTTTACGATTTTCTGTCGTCTCCTCGGGAGCAAGTGACTTCAGGACGACATTGGTGGGGCTTGCTTCTTTTAAAAAAATTACTTTTCTACATTATTTTTGCCGCTTGTTTTTACGCTTTCCAATGCTGCACGGCCGTGGTGTTGGTGATTGCTCTCGTGCAGTTTGCTGCCTCTACTGTTTTTCGAGGTTACTGTTTGAGAAATATTGGCGAAATGAGACCATTTTCGTTCTAAATCGCTACAAAACTACAACCCATGGTCATCTTTGTGTTGACTTGCCAGTCTTTAACTAAAAGCACCAGGAGTTGTCCAAAACGATTATGTTAAGTCACCTTATTTCATTTTTTCCTTTTCCAGATAGAGGAAAACTCGGCTGCAGATCACCCAGGAGACAGAACCACTGAGGAGAGAGCGGAAACACGGACCAGTGGAGCGGAAGACAGACAGAACAGTGAAGCAGACAGTGGCAGAGAGAGTGTTGAAGATCCTGCAGGCGATGATAGTGCTCAAGTGAGCAGTGACAGTCAATCCGTCAGTAGACAGAACAGTGCTGTAGATAGCACTCCAGAAAACGAGCCTGATAAGGAAGAAAAGGACAGTGCTGTTGTTGAAGACACAAGTGTTCAAACTGTTGAAGACAGCAGTCAAAGTGCTGACTCAGAAAGAAGAGAAGACAGCAGTCTTGGAGAAACCAGAAGGTTCAGTGTTCCAGACGTGAGGATACATGCTGGTACATCTGAGCCCGTAAGACGATCTAGTAGCTCGAGAGTGACAGTCCGAACAACAAGCCCCCTAACCGTCCTCGTTGGTGGTTCAGATTCCACGAGCGAAGAGAACGCAGAGCAAAACAATCAGCCCGAAGAACAGAAGTGTGCTGCTGAGTTGAAAGCTGACGAGAACCGTCTTTCAGTCAGTGACCAACCAGCTGACGAGCTTCCTCCGGACAGTCCGTCTGGCAGAGACGATAGTGAAGAGGTGGTCACCACCACAACGACAACTGTCCACTTCACGAACGGGTCCTTCCCAGGCTTCAGACACGGCATTGTTGAAGTAGAGGACACTAATAACAACAACTATAACAACAACAGTATCAGTAACAACCAGACAGCAGAGTCTACAGACAGCGACATGGGGGACAACGTGAGGCTTGAGGAGAAAATGAGGCAGTTCCAGAACGACAATAAGAAAGGTGAGTGTCAAGAAAAATTGGACTTTATTTGTTCCTTTGTCTGTTTGCTTGTTCAAAAAAACAAAACAAAAAACAAAAGAGAGAGAGAGAGAGAGAGAGAGAGAGAGAGAGAGGGAGAGAGGCTTCTGAACTTTGTGACGTCTTGGTTGACGAAAACAATTGCCAATCTATTCCCGGAGTTGTGAGGGAGGCTGATCTCTCTGTGTGTTTTGGCAGCTTGCCAAAGTGTACACTGTGATCTCACACCAGGAGAACCGGGATGGGACGGCGCATTGTGACACCGTCCGTGGACCTCCGTGATGTTTTGTCTTTTAATAGGGCAGGCGCAATGTTAGGTCAGGAATTATACGAGCTTTGCTAAATATTGCGTTAGCTCTGCCTCTAGTCGGACAGGGAGAGATGAAGACTCGAAACTCGAAAAATCGTAGCTAGGAAAATAGTAACCCCCCCCCCCCCCCCCCCCTTTTTTTTTTCATTTCCCCCTCGCTACTTCTACGCCCCGCCAAAAAAGAAGAGAAATACAAAAAGTGCAGAAAACGTGCTAAAAGATCATGTGCAGACAGAAGCAAGTAAAAACGTTAATTAACTTTCGACCGGAAACAACTTTTCTTATGTTCTTTCCTCCTCCCTCCAAACTGGCGCGGTGGGTTTGTGACTTTGTAGTGGTGTCTCCCTGTCTCCCTCGAGCCCTCACCGTTGAGTTGACTCAGCGAGCGGGTCACTTGGTCCTGTCGCCAAATTAAATGTAAACACTAGGGCCCAGTTTCTCTTTCATGTTCGGCCAAATGCCTGCGCAGCTTTAAAACAGAATGTTCTCGAAGTAAAGACGTCAGACCTGCTAGGATTTGCTTCATCGGCGCCGACCTTCATTTCGTTGCATCCTCTTTTCTTAAAGCGTTTGGCTGCAAACCACCAGCTTAACTAAAATCTATTTGCTCGTATTTCTTAATGGGGCCATAAGTTTCCAAGTTTCCGTTCGTTTATCCTTTCTTCTTTCCTTTTTTTTGTGTGTGATTTGTTTCTGTTTCTTTGTTCTTCTCCTCTTCGGTTTTCTAGATTGCTCTAGTTCAAATATTTTTTTCTATTTTGTTTACTTTTTAAAACTCATGTAGTTTTTCTTTTTCTTCCTCAAACAGTTCCTGACTTGTTCATTCATTTTTTGATCGTTGGTTTACATTTTCCTTTTCTTTTGTATCACCTCCCCATTTCAAGTTATCGCATCAGAGGGTGAAATTTATTTTTAGAACTAAGTAAACGTTTTGGTGCAATCCAACTCTTTTATCTGTTTTTGACCAACGGTGCTATGACTGGCGATAGAGCCGGTAGATTGCCTTTTGATGCAATGGAAAACTTCTTGTGTTAGCTCTGTCGAAAAGAATACAGCAACTCTTACTTTATAACCTTATTTGTAACCATACTCGGAGGACTGACCTAGCAATAGACTTCGTTGTCCATCTTTTTTGGTTGTGCATGACCTCAGAACGGGTTACACGGGGGTATAAGTTTTTCCACTACTGTTTACCTGCTCTTTTCAGAAACAAAACACTATCCTTGCTTTCTGTAAAAACCGGAATGGCGGATCCATAGCCGTTTGAGTGACTTGTATTTATTGACGGTGCGCTTTCTGTTTACTGTGTCCACTTCTGTGGCAAAGGCCCCTGCCCAAAACCTCGTTACCAACTCTGTCTTTAGCCTTCTTGAGCTACTAGTTCGATGGGTCAAACTCAGACATCAAGGGTTTCTTACGGTGGAGAGGATCGTGAGCGCTATGACAATAGAGAAACATCTTCCGATTGCTCCTTCGAGACGGGCGAGGGTAAGTATAAGCATGGTGTTTACTCGACGAGAGAATTACTTGAAAAAACACCCGTAAAATTTGCATTTCGTTTCTCATGTTGATGAAGACGAAGACTCTCTGACTGAGACACAATCTTCTATTGAATTGTGTATTTTGAGTCCTAATAGGTTGTGTTGGGCACACCGGAGTACAAACGAACCTGGCAGTTTGATTGTACTTGTATTACTTACTGTCCTTTGCTCCCCATGTCTTGATTTAGGGCTTTCTTTTCTTGCACCCCCCTTCTCTCTCTCTCTCCATCTGTCTTTCTCTCTCTCTCTCTTTCTCTCTCTCTCTGTCTCTCTGTCTCTCTCTCTCTCTCTCTCTCTCTCTCTCTCTCTTATATATATAAATACCCACACACGCCCTCCCTTCCTC